TTTGAATTTAAGTATTTTCCATTTTACATATACACTTCCATAAATTAAAAGGAATGAAGTTATTATAGTTAATATATGCAAATCGTTATCAAATCGTATATTTTCCTTTTCTTCCATTACATGTGTGCGATATATATAAATATATAAACTATGTTACATGCGTTATATGCGTCTCTAATTATTTTTCCCTAGCAAATTTTAATTGAACCTAAAGCCGCCACGTCAGTTTAATTGATATGTTAATTGATTGACAACTAAGCAGGGTTACTTTTTAATTAATACAAACTTGAGGTTACATCTTTTCAAATGTTTCTCAATTAATATATATGGGATGGGATGATGTGTACCGAAGGACCCTCCTACCAAAATCAAATTGCATGTGTAACTAGCTTTTATTATTGTCGACGTTAATTTAATTAGTTTGTTTAAGACACATTCAACCGTTACAAATTTATTTTTGAAACATAAAAATATATATATTCTTCTAATTGGCTTCATCAATATGAGTCACCAGTTAACCGAACCTAAATTCACGTATCTTAAAATGTTTTTGAGGAGCATACCACCAAATACAACACAAACCGACAAACTATAAGAAAGAAGAGGACAAAAAGAAAACAATAACAAATATGGGGCACAATCGCACAAAGATCTGATACCTTAGGGGATTATAATGCAATCAACTAAGTGGTGCGCACCAAAATATAAATAATAGTATTTGAGAGAGAGAGAAGGGAATATTAAAGCTTTTCTTTCCGACAAAAAAAAAAAGAAAAAGGAGGTTTTGTCTTTTTTTTTTTAATCCCAAAGTCGAGAGAACTAGGGTTTACTAATGGCTTCGTCGTCAGATTACGAGATCATCACAGACCCGTGGGATCCAAAATGTGTGAGAGCGTGCAGTATGTATATCCCTGGAGAAGAGCATGAGGATACGAAGCTTCTGTTGGAGAAAATTCGAGGGAAACTTGACAAACGGATTCACAATCACACACAAGCTGAGGAGTTTCGTATCATCAATGAACAGATCGTGAATAGTCAGGGATTTGACGTCGATTTCTCCAAGCTGCGTTACCTTTTTGATTTCCAGCCTGCCTTTCTCGATGATACCGATACCGATAGGGGCAGGGAGTTTTTCGGTAGACTCTCTGCCGAAGCCATTGAGATCTACAACAAAAGAGAGGTGATGGATGATCTTTCTTTTCTTTTACTATTCGATTCAGTGTTTTCTTTTCTTTTTTTTTTTTTAAAAAAGAGTGAATTTTGATTTGGGTTTGTGTTTGTGTTTTATTTTTTTTTAAACTCAGGGGACTGGTTTTGAGTTCGTTGAGGTTGAGAAAGCAAATATTTACTCCAACAGCGGAGAGGTCTACTTCATCACATTTGTAGCCAAAGATCCGCTTGACCACCAGACAAAAGTGTTTCAAGCTAAGGTTATCCATGTTTTCTGTAGACAGATTGTGCACAGCTTCTGCAGGCTTAAACCCAATCAACAAGGTATGTATTGTTTTCTTTTACTTTGTTAAAGTAGATGAAGATTGTGTACCTTATTTATGTCTTTGTCCTTTGCCTTAAGTAGAAATTAAGACACTTATTAGTTTAAATGTTCACTTTGCAAGTTATATTTATTTTAGTTTAGAAAGGACCTTTGGTTGTTCTTGTTGTTGTGATGAAGAACATAGCTATGCGTATTTCAACTTGTGTTGGCAGTAACATGTGTTGAGGAAGAGTCCATTGCAAAGAAAGCGCTCATTACAAGACAAAAGAAGAGAAAGCATGGTATAACTCTCTTCTTCATCTATGACAAAAAAGAATTATTTCTTTTCAATTTCTAAATTACACATGTTTCTTCTACTAGTTTGTTGATTTTGGTATTTTTGGTTTTCTACCAGCGTTGTTGAAAATTAAACGAGGGTGTATTCATTCAGACCCTTGAGTTGGTGATTTGGTCCTCCGTGATAAGCAAGAAGCAGCCCAGGACGATGATGTTTGAGCTTGCAAATCAGTTCCCTGCCCTTGCTTCATTTAATTATCAGGATTAGGTGGTGCCATCTATATATAGTGCATCTAGGGTTTTAAGCTTTTAGCCATTCACATGATAATTATGTGTAATCAATGTAAGAACTCAAGAGAGTTAAAAGACATCTACGAAACTTATATTTCATCTTCCTCAAGCTTTTGCGTTTACTTTCATAGTCTCACAACTATATGATGGATGAACCGACAGATCATTTACTCAAATCCTTATATGGTTTTAAACAATCATCTAGTCTGATTTGATAAATTCAACAACTCTTTACATGATTTTTGGTTTTGTTAGCAGCAACAATGGCCCATGGCCATGCCTATTGTGTATTCTTGAGAGGGAAATATCATAATGCTGCTCCTCTATGTAGACGGCTATCAGAGTGGTGTTATTAACAATTTGCAGTTGACTTGTTGATAGTAGCAGAACTGGAAAATAATGCTCCAATGCCGACTCCTGTTTTTTTTTTTGGTCCTGACCTTTCTTATAGTTTTTTATATGTATTTGGTCTGCTCTTCAAAAACATTTTAAATATTTGTAAACAAATAATATGGGGGTATCGCATAAATATCTGATACCTTATGGAGCTTTCAAGGTAATGTACACAGCTTCTGCAGGCTAAATCCCAATCAAGGATGAATTTTTTCTTGGAATTAGTTGGGTTTTCTTTACTTTGTTAAGTAGACATCATCTGAAAACATATGTTATGTCTGTGCCTTGGTAAAAAGCAAGAAGAAAGCTCTGCTTTCAATCAGTTTAAATGTTCTTCCCAATATACATACTTTGCAACTTATATTTTTAGTGTAGAAGAACCTTTGATTGTTCTTTTTGTTGTAGTGACAGTAACGAATATAATGATCGTATATTCGTATTCAACTTGTGTTGGTAGTAACATATGATGATGAAGAGTCCATTGCGAAGATAGAGTCCATTACAAAAGAAAAAAAAAACGAGAAAAGGTATAACTAAATAGTTTATCTCTTCATTATAACAAAAGCTAAACATATTTCGACTAGTTTCTTGTGTTAATCTTTACCAGGGTTGAAATTAAACCAAAATGGTGAAGGGTTCTCTTATTTGGTACAAGGGTGACTCGTCTCTTTAGTCTCCATACTTATATTGTGTTAGAACCACTTCTTTTATTATGAGGTTGAGGAATAACTAAAGGCTTGAGAATTCCATGTATCAAATGATATCTCGACTGTTCCTATTAAACGTTTATGTGTTCCATTTACGTTATATAGTGAAACCGTATCCAAGTGTTCTAAAAGGCCAAAGATTTATACCCAATTTCTTGAACTAACAATACCGTGCGGCCAAAATAAAAAGAGTTGAAATAAGTTTTTTGATATACTAAAGTTGATGTGTATTTTACACCTTATGGAAATTATAGTCCTCCATATACCAAAACTAAAACATTACTAATACCGTTCAGAAAAGATAATTTCTTTATCTATACTATTAATACCAAAGTAGTTGTCGCCGTGTCTGCACACCACCAGATACATCATCACTAGAAGCCATCAACTGCAGACACATTTTACAAACCCTAGAAAGAAAATTTGTCAAGAAGATTTATGTAATAATAAATCATTATTTTCAGAAATATACTCATCAGAGGATAAACAACTTCAGAAAACAGACTTTGATTTTGGCATCCAACACGACTACATGCCCGACTTATTTTCGCGAATCCTCCATCTCCCCAAGTAGTACCCCACGAATTTAGTATGATCCACTAGTGTTGGCCATTCAAGCTGTCATAGCCAACCAGTAGAACCATGTGGTCACCGCTAGCATTCTTAGACGTTTTTGTTCCATAATAAATCCCCTACACTTTAAACACACAAACAAATAATAATTAATCCAAGTGTTGGATATATCGATTTAACAATTGATTAAACTATATATAACTGACATCTCCCCCATAAATTTTAATCCTTCGTTGCCTCTATACTCACCATTACAGGACCATTATCCACTAATTTGATCAAATTTTCTTCATTGATCTCTTTAATTGACACCAGCTCATCAATCTTCAAAACATGTATCTTTTTTTCTAGCAAAATAAATACAAAAATATATATGAAATACAAAAATTTAATTTTCAAAATATGTAAATCATCTTACCATGATATTTCTAGCGCATGGATCCAATTTATTTGTCCTCTTTGCACATTTATAGTCTTCTTTCTAAATTACACATTCATTCTTCAAAAACCTTCCTATTTCCTCAAAGTTCTTGACATCTCCTTGGGTCTTTTTTTCTCGATGCCATAGAAAATGTGTTTATCCGACAATACGATCTCCAAGCCAAACTGGATTTTCACTCATGTTTCTAAGGATTTGTTGGTGCTGTGAACCCAACATGTTTCTGTAAAAAAATTATTAACATTTGGGGTGCAAATGATTCATTAACTTTATTAAATTACACACAGACACAGTGCCCCCCCCCTAATTATTGAGAGACTTAAAAAAATGAAATATGTGTGGCCTTATGTGTTTATTACCTTAATATAGTGATGACTTTTTAACTACATTATAGTGATGAATTATGTATTATGTTTTTTTTTGTTATACAAGGATAACATTGTAATATTAAGAACACTCTGTATCATAAATTTATCATTTTATGTAATTATCTGTTTTCAATAAAGTTTAAATAATAATTTTCAATAAGCTCAATTAACTTTCTTAAAATTTACAATTTACTATTATTAAATAATTGAAATTTATAAAACAAAAAAATACAATCTTATGAAATATCTTTTCTTCAAATTATTTTTATCTTTGTAAAACGGAGGTAGTAACATACTTTTTATATGTTTTAAAGTACTACTAATATTATTTTATCATATTTTAATTATTTAGAGAAGAATCAACCACTTCTTAGCAACTTTATCAACTATTTCAAATTACAGAAAGAACAGTATACTACTATGAGTTTGATGGCTATTATGACTTTCTTACAACAAATTATTTCAAACTTATGTAAAACATTTTGAAAAACTATAAAACAATAAAATGTCCAATAACTAATGTAAGATCAATGAGAACAATTGATTAAACTATAAATAACTTAAATCTCCCTCATGAACTTTAAATTCCTTCGTTGCCTCTAAGCTCACCATTACATGACTATTATCCACTAATTTGATCAAATCTTCTTCATTGATCTCTTTACTTGACACCAGTTCATCAATCTTCAAAACATGTATCTCTTTTTTTCTAGCAAAATAAATACAAAAATATATGTTAAATACACAAATCTTGTTTTCAAAATATGTAAATCATCTTACCATGATATTTTTAGCGCATGGATCCAATTTGTTTGTCCTCTTTGCACATTTACAGTCTTCTTTCCGGATTACACCTTCATTCTTCAAAAACCTTCATATATCTTCAATGTTCTTGACAGCTCCTTGGGTCTTTTTTTTCTCGATGCCATCGAAAAAGTGTTTATACGACAATACAATACGATCTCCAAGCCAAACTAGATTTTTATTCGTGCTTCTAAGGATTTGTTGGTTCTGTGAACCCAACATGTTTCTGTAAAAAATATTACCAAAAGTATTAAAATATTTATGGTGCATATGTTTCATTAACTTTGTTGTTGTAGTGACAGTGAGGAATATAATGATCTTATATTCGTATTCAACTTGTGATGGTAGTAACTTATAATGATGAAAATTCCATTGCGAAGAAATAGTCTATTACAAAAGGAAAAAAACTAAAACGAAAGGTATAACTAAATAGTTTATCTCTTCATTATAACAAAAGCAACACACATTTCGACTTAGTTTCTTGATTTTGGTCTTTACCAGGCTTGAAATTAAACCAGAGTGATGAAGGGCTCTCTTATTTTGTGCAAGGGTGACTCGTCTCTTTAATATCGCTACTTATACTTTGTTAAAACCACTTCTTTTGTTATGAAGTTGAGGAATAACTAAAGGCTTGAGAATTCCATCTATCGAATGATATCTCGATTGTTACTATATATTAAAATTTTTTTGTGTTCCATTTACGTTATACAGTGAAACCATATCCAAGTGTCCTAAAAGCTACTCTGTTTCTTGAACTAACAATACCGTGCAGCCAAAATAAAAAGAGTTAAAGATGCGTATTTTACACCTTATGGAAATCATACTCATCCATATACCAAAACTAAAACATTATTAATACCGTTTAGAAAAGAAAATTTCTTTATCTATACTATTAATACCAAAGTAGTTGTCATTGTGTCTACACACCACCAGATACATCATCACTAGAAGCCATCAACTGCAGACACATGTTACAAACCCTCAAAAGAAAATTTGTCAAGAAGATTTATATAATAGTAAATCACTATTTTAAGAAATATAATCATCAAAGGATAAACAACTTCAGAAAACAGACTTTGATTTTGGCATCCAAAACGACTACATGCCCGACTTATTTTCGCGAATCCTCCATCTCCCCAAGTAGTATCCCACGAATTCAGTATGATCCAGTAGTATTGGCCATTCAAGCTGTCATAGCCAACCAGTAGAACCACGTGGTCACCCCTAGTCTTCTTAGACGTTTTCGGTCCATAATAAATCCTCTGCAATTTAAACACAAAAACAAATAATAATCAATAGAAGTTTTAAATATATCGATTGAAAAATTGATTAAACTATAAATAACTTACATCTCCCTCATAAATTTTAAATTCCTTTGTTGCCTCTATGCTCACCATTACAGTACCATTATCCATTAATTTGATCAAATCTTCTTCATTGATCTATTTAATTGACACCAGCTCATCAATCTTCAAAACATGTATCTCTTTTTTCTAGCAAAATAAATACAAAAATATATGTTAAATACAAAAATTTAATTTTCAAAATATGTAAATCATCTTAACATGATATATATTTCTAGCGCATGGATCCAATTTATTTGTCCTCTTAATTTGCACATTTACAGTCTTCTTTCCGAGCTACACATTCATTCTTCAAAAACCTTCCTATTTCCTCAAAATTCTTTACAGCTCCTTGGGTCTTTTTTTCTTTCTCAATGCCATAGAACATGTGTTTATCTGACAATACGATCTCCAAGCCAAACTGGATTTTACTTGTTCTTCTAAGGATTTGTTGGTGCTGTGAACCCAACATGTTTCTGTAAAAAATATT